GGTTGTGTACACACACTGCCAACACACATTTCAGTTCAAACAACTTGTAAAAGTGCATGTAGCATCCTATGACCCCTTTACAGCTTCACTATGTAACTCTTGTCCCTCTAGTGGTTGAAGCGAAGAACTGCAAGTTACTTGCGGAGGTACATTGTTTTGGTTAATACGGGAGTTGTGCTTTGGCTCCGCTATTTTCAGTAAATGTGCGAGATTTCCATTTCATTAGCTGCTAGGTAAATAACTAGAAGAATAACAGTGCATGAAACGGTAAGTCTATTTGTGCTACAAACCAGTGTGTTTATCATTATGATAATACATTAAAATTATATAACAAATACCAGTTTGCAATATCAAGCAGCTTAACACTGTTTTGTACAGCGAAAATAACTGGACGCGAATGACACCGGAAGTCTCGCACATTCAAGTTACATATATGCTACAAATAAGGTGGATACCTGAAGAATCTAATGGCCTAATCAGTCCGAGTGTTACTAACGACATCCAAACTCTACCAATAACGAAAGACATATCTGAAAAACATGTCTTATATGAGCAGGCAGGTAGTTTTTATGTGGTTGTTGCTTTGACTTGTTGAAATCAATTGTTTTAAAATAGCGTTAAAAAAGTTTTGCAATTATGCTGATACTAGTCAATGATTGCTACTCATATCAAATAACAGCAGAAACTATAACTTGACATGGTTATTTATAGGGAAATAGTCCAGTTGCTGGTTTAGAGATTACCAACATACAAGCTGTTTTGTGAACCTAAGTCAAGTCTCAGAAATTATGATGATATGCAAACTATGTTGATTCGTGTTTTATTACGGGTGCTTCACTTTCCATTTTTGCTTGCAAACCCTTCGCTTCCAGGTTCATTTGTTGTGGTTTCAAGCTACTTGTGGATATGGCACAATTAATTTTGGGAAAAAGTTGCATATTGTAGCTTTAAACAAAATAAACCCCTTTATGGTAATGCAAAACCACCCTAAACATCTTGCCAAGGTTTATTTTGTGATAAAACAAAGCAACTCACCGGAAAAGGAGAAAAAATCCATAGATTTCAAGGATGACGCCTACAATCGGCCATCCGATGAGCACCACGAAAACACCTCCCAGAAAGAAACCGGTGGCTTTCATTTTATGCCGCTGGAAGAAGAACTTGAACGTCCGTTCCAGTCCGATAACAAATGAGAGACCTGCCACAAACAAGATCTGCAAACACAAAAACACATTCAGTTCAAGCAGCATTTTAATGTCCTAACACAACACAAATCTGAGCGTTCACGGTATATTTTATTCCATTCAAACAACTGTGTTTCTGTGTTAAAGCAAACACTCACATTTCCAATGGCTAAGAGCGCTTTATCAAAGAAAAGAATCATTCCGAAGAAGAGGAAAAACACGCCGAAGCCCGTCAGCCCCATCCCGATCTCTGTTAAAAAACACAACAACAGCCTTTATCAGTGCTGCATTACAAACACATGCATGCAAATAAGTCATATTTAAGGAGTTGTGGAAATTAGGATTAAGTACTTAAGTGTAGGTAATAATGTCGCATTGACGTACAACTTGTTTTAGGCTTTTTCTTCTTTCTAATGATTTGGAAAAGATTTTTAAAAATCTGTCCCGTATGATTAGCATATTCCATGGTATTTGCATAGTACTCCACAGCACTTCAGAGAATATCATGATATTTCATAGACAGATAGAGAGATAGATAGACATTCAACATTACATAGATAGATAGATAGATAGATGGGCAGTCATACAGACAGACAGATAGACAGATAGATAGACATTCAACATTAGATAGATAGATATTCAACCTTAGATAGACAGATAGATAGACAGACAGGCAGACAGACAGACAGACATTCAACATTAGATAGATAGATATTCAACCTTAGATAGATAGATA